TCTTCTCACAACAGTTTTTTTTAAGTGAGCTTGTGGTTGAGTACCAGGCACTGTTCTAGGTGCTGAGCAAACGGTGGAGAACAAGACAAAAAAGACTCTTGCCCTCTTGGAGCTTAGGTTCTGGAGTTGGCTATCTAAATTTAAATTAATTCAAATTAAAATAAAAGTTCAGTCAGTCAGTTGCACTAGCCACCAGTACTCAGTAGCCACATGAGGCTAGTGGCTGCTGTTTTGGACAACGCAGATACAGAACATTTCCATCCTTGTGGAAAGTTCTGTCGGGCAGCACTGTTTTGAGGGATAAACAAGACGCATTACAAGAATAAGAACAGCCACGTCAGCCCATGCTCGGAAAGGGAGAGGCCTCTCGGAGGATGGAAACCCAGTGTCGGTTTCACACCTGCCCTCCATGCCAGATAGGGTCCTGGCTTGTTGGACAACTCTTTCCTATGGTGTGTGCACAGTCCAGTGTGACCGCAAGAGCTGGCTGCTGATCATGGGGCAGAAGGGAATGTTTCACCTCATTCTTGTAAAGTCTCTGCCACCAGTGTGGTGAATGGGAATAGTCAGCTTGGAAAGAAGGGTTTCCGAAAGTTCCTTCTGCTTCGAGGTAGTCAGGGAGTCCCTCTTGGGACACCAGGCATGGCAACTCTCCCCTCACTCACCCTGTGGACTGGGCAGCCAAGAAGTTAGGACTGCTGTCTGCAGGTGGCTCCGAGAAGAGGTCACCCAGCTTATTCTGGTTCCATACTTGTGATTTGCCAACGTAGGTGCCTGATGGGGCACCGGTTACCAAAAAGAAAGATGTTTGTGCACAGAATTTGTTAAAACTGGGCTTCAGAAGAGAGTGATACGTTTTTTCCTTAACATCAATCCCAAATCAGAAGGTTCTTTTGAGTCCTGAGTGATGTGAAGGTTTGTTGTCAGAGGGGGACATGGGAAAGGTGGTGGGGGTTCCTTACAGTGGACACGTTGAGGTGTTTATGCCCAAATGTGTCAAGGACTTTGTCCAAATTCCACATTGTCTTCTCCTCCTCTTCATTCCTCTCTCACTTTTTTAATTCTCTTTCTTCCCTCGGAACCCCAGCTCTCTGAACTCCACCTGTAGGAATTAATGAGTAGATATTTCCCTTATAACCTCCTTTCCACTACTCTCAGTGATTAAATGCTTTCCTGAAATGTGGCAAAATAACATTTTAAAAAATGCAGCGAGTCTTCAGCCTGGCAAAAGAGGCTGGTTCTCATTACTTAACACTCTTTATAGGTGTGCCTGGCCCTTGGGTGTTGGGAAAGCTGTCCTCTGTTCGTGTGAGATCTCGGGCGCTCAAGGTTTCTTGTGTGCAGTCAACGTGTCCCTGTGGAGCTGGGTCTCTTGCCTGCTTCCGTTAACGGACAGCTCGCTTCTTAATCCTTAACTATGTAAGAAGGTCTGTGGAGCACTCGTTTATCCAGAGCTGCCAGCAGGTCAGGGAGGAGAGAGGGGCATCTGTTGATCAATACAATGGTGAAAACAAAGGAAAATGAGAAAAAAGGTAAGAAAGAAGTTAGATTTTTTGAACACTTGCTACATGCTAGGCTCTAGTCTCGCACTTGGTATCTTTTTGTCCTTTGCTCATCACAGTAGCCCTGTGGTTAGCAGATAGTGGCCTCGTTGTGCTCATGGCAGGTGAGGCTCAGAGAAGTCAGGACACCTGCTGGAAGTGCACAGCTGGTGAGCAGTGGCGCCCAGGGCTGCTACCTGAGCTGCCTGCTGCTGGGCCCTCACTCTGCAAACCTTGAGAAAGCTGTGTTTGTTCCCAGGGTCTGGGAGAATCTTTGCTGTGAGTAGTAGCTTTTTCTCTGAAATTTCAGAGAGCTGGCGCTTGGGCTGAAGGTTCGTAGGCCGTGTCTGCCTTGACAGTTCACGGGCTGTCCTCCTCCTTCCTCTCCTCCAGGTCACCGTGGAGTAACAAGTATGACCCTCCTTTGGAAGATGGGGCCATGCCTTCTGCTCGGCTGAGGAAGCTGGAGGTGGAAGCCAACAACGCCTTTGACCAGTATCGAGACCTGTGAGTCCCTCGCTCCCTTTGCACTTTAGCTCCCATGGTTTTGATAAGTAAATCATAAATGAGAGCTTGACCAGGCCAGGTGGTCTCCTTGAACCTATCACCTGGACCGCCTAACTGATTAGAATTCTAAGCACCCGTAGCAGGACTCTGGGCACTGGGTTGGTAATGGGGTCGGTTATGAGACAGCTCGGTGACAGAACGCTGCCCTAGACAGACTCGCCTATGCCTTACTGCGGGTGGTGATTCATAGTAATGGCGGGTACCATACTTAACTGTGTGTAAGACACGGTGCCAGATGGTTTTCTCCACAGCGTCTCCAGCCCTCACAAACATGATAGCTGTTTTAGTCCCTGGTTTTCAGATGAAGAAATTAAGACTCAGGTAGATTAAGGTGTTTGTTCAAGGCAAGAGGCAGAGTCAAGAGTCAGACTCAGATCTGTCCGTCTCTAGAGGTCCCTCTGATATTTACCATCCTGCATGCTCTGAGCCAGTTCTTACATGGAGCTCAGGGGCACCTGCTTCCAGACCAGTCGCCAGGGCAGGACGGGTAGAGGTCCTCACGTGTGGGACTTTGGTGGCCCGTCTCTGAGCTGATATTTTGCTGACTGCGTTGTTTAGGGCCTCAGCCCCAGCCTTGGGAAGTGGTTTTGCTGGATCCTCTTAGGTTCCCACCTCTCCCTTCTGCTTCCATTCAGTCCTGCCTCCCACCACACCACCAAAAATAGTGGCCAATGGATTGATCAGCCTTGCAAGGAAAGGCTCCAAGGTTATCCTCTGAGCTATGTTTTTTCTATCAACAAAATCTCATTTTACATTAAGTTCTATACCGAAAAGATAGCAGAACTGTAAATATGCAGTACTACCTCAGTACACATGAAGTCATCTAGGAGAGGAGTCGGCAAACTTTTTCTGTAAAGGGCCAGATGGTAAACATTTCAGGCTTTGCAGGCTGCATATCTCTGTCACTTACTCTTTGCGTGGTTTTTGTTGTTGTTTTTACCTTTTAAAAGTCTAAAAACCACCTCCTGAGCTGTGAGGTAGGTGGGATCAGCCCTCAGGCTGTGGTTTGCCCACCGCAATCTAGGATATCGGCAAGGAGATGGAAATGAGAGAAACAAAGGCAGCTGAGCAGCTGAGACCTGGTGATGTTGCAGAAGGCTGGTGGTGGTACCCTTGGTGTAAGCATTTCAGGTCTCTGCTCTGCGGACAGTTGGGATGCTCTTCCCCTTCATAGCAGATTTGATACAACACATTCTAGGAAGAAGTTTTTTAGAAACTGCTGCGGGAGGAAAAGTGACTTCTGAGTCTGACACAAAGAGAAACAACCCCACAACATTGAGCGTGTGAATGAAATACACAAGCACAGCCCTAAGGAAACTGGAAACAAATGGGCCACAGCATTTCCTTCGCCCTGAATATATCGCTGTGTGATTCAGCTTTATCTTCGGTATCTGGCACGGGCTGGTATTTTATCTACATTATCTTTAATCCTTACAAGAACCTCTGGGGAAGACAGTTTTGTCCCTTTTATACGGACGAGGAGACTGGGGCTCCGAGAGGCTGAATGACTCAGACTAGGCCACAGGACAGAGGCAGAGAGCTAGGATTTGAGTCCATATTTGCCTGCAGTTTCCACAAATTATTGATTCTCAGAGTTAAAATAAATTTCAGTGTTTAAAGAGCTCTTCCCTCTAGAATTTTGCCCTGTTGTAGGACGTCATGCTGGGAAGTTGACTCATTGCTGTCTCGTAGTTTATTTGCAATTGTTTTTTACTATCTTCTTTTACGCAACCATTGGGAAGAAGCCAAATCCAGCTGTTAAACTAGGATTCCCAAGTGGAATCAGTTTCATGTTGTAGTGATAATGTTGGTAATAAAACGGCAGTAATGATAACAGCTGATAACAGCGGTTACTAGCCAGTGACTGGGCACACCCTGTGTTAACTGCCTCGTGGTCTTCATCTCATTCAGTCCTCACAACAGCCTGTGCGAGAGGATTACCCTCATTTTACAAGAGTTGAAAAATTGAGAGAGGTCGAGTAACTTGCCCAAGTTCATGTAGCCGGTAAGTGGTGGAACTGGGAAAGAAAGCCATCCTCATCCAACTCTAGAGTCCAGAATTTATTCATTTACTCCACCGACATTGAGGGAGCTTGCCACGAGCACTTGGCTCACTAAATACTGGGGCTGTAGGTACGGCTTTGAACACAGCATCCCAAGTCCCTGTGCTCGGGGTGCATCCAGTGTGGAGAGACAAACACTAGCGTGTCAACAAGTGCCATGATGGGTGACGGGATCGGGAGTGACTTGGCCGGGAAGGCATCTCCAGGAGGTGATGTTGGAGCTGAGGTCTGATGCCCAGAAGGGGCCAGCCCTTCTGGGGCTGGAAAAGAGCGGTTCAGGCAGAGGGGCTGTTTGTGCAGGCATCTCTAAGGCAGGGTGGCTCTTGGATTCTCCAAAGATGAGAACGAGCATGATTTCTTGTAGACTTAAACGTTCGGGTTGTCAGTTCCTGAATAAAGTGATTCAGACGCCTTGCCTTGTGCTGCCCTTTGGGGCCAGACCTGGGGAAGAGCCCCGTGTCATTTTTAACTTCTCCTTCCTTCTTTCTCCCTCCTGTCTCGCTGGTTCACGTATATAACAAACCATGTGTGGTCACTCTTAGGTGTGTGCCTTCTCTGGGGTCTTGATTGGCCTGGTATGGTGAGCATTTCCCCATTATCATTAAAAATCTTCAGAGTGATCCCTTAATCCTAACAATAACTCTGTAGGATAAGTGGGAGTGATCTCATTTACCAGATGATGAAACTGGAAGTCCTCAAGTGGTTCATCTGCTAGAAAATAGTAAGAGCTGGGTTCACATGCGAGGTCTAACTCTTTACACTGCCTTCCTGGGCAAAAGTGCACTTTTCAGGTGGTTTTTAAGCCTTAATGAGCCATATTTCTGTGTACTTCTGCATGTGCCTGCACGCTCCCCTGAAGGTGAGCTGACCTGCTGGGGGCTTGAGAGCGGTGACAGGACAGCTCTGTGCACCCAAGTGGGGGATTGAACTGGAGAAGCCCCAGACCCTGAGGCTCTGTGACAGTTTATAATGGTGGCATCCCAGCCCAGGAGATGCTGTTCTGTCCCCAGCAGCATCAGTGTGCTGCTTCAAGGGGGGAGGAGGGAGTACAGGCCTCTGGGTGGCACCCACAGAGATGGGCAGGGAGGCCGGTTCTCCCTGTGTGACAGCAGCCCCAGGCCACTGGAGGGATGGTGGTTAGAGCTGTCATTGGGGACCCAGAGTCATCAGTTTCAAACCACCCTGTGTTATCAGAGTGTGCTGAAGAACACTCTCTCCTGAGACCATATGTGAGGACAGCTAGACCACACATGATGAGCCAACCCATTTCTGGTCTAAAAATTATGAAAACCAGTCTCCTTTCTTTTCTTTTCTTTCTTTTTTTTTTTTTTAAACATCTTGGTACATTGCTCACCTCTGGAAGTTTCCGTTCTCAGAGTGCCCTGTGAGTTGCTGGCGGCCACATCAGTGATGGTGGTAGGATCCAGGGCATGAGCTCTTTCGCCGTGGTTTTGGAGCAGATGGAAATCAGCTGGGGGCTAGAAGGTCTTGTCTCTGCTTTGAGCGGCACTGGGTTTTCTAGGGACCAGATTGTTCCATGGGATGAGGGGGCAGAAGGTCATGCCTTTCTCTTTGTCTTTCATCCCTGCCCCTCCCCAGTATAGACCTCTTCCCATTGGAAGACTCACTTCCCAGTGAGTGAAGCGACAGAGCGCCTCCATGGATTCTGCCACCTGCTTACTTTCATATTGGCAAAGGTCACTGAGGGGAGGCCTCCCCCTCCCCGACACTGCATCCTGTCTGCTGGCTCAGGTTACCGAGCTGTTGCACGAGGGACCTGGTGAGAGATGCACAGAGCCTCAGGCAGACCCACCCCTGCCAGAAAGAGAGGGGGTGATTGCCAGTAGGACGGGCACCATTGTGCCCAGCAGGGCTGGGTGAGTCAGGCTGCCATTTCCCGGGCACCCCGTTCTGAACTGGAGCGTGGCCTGTGCCCCACAGATGAGGGTGAGGAACGTGAAGAACACCGTCCACTATGCAAACCCTGTCTTTAATTCCTGACCGCCCCAGATGTTTCTGAAGTCTTGGGTCCTGATGGATCGCAGACTTAGGACCGAGTTTGGCTTGTGCTCCGGCCTCTTGACCCATCACGACCTCGAATGACTGAAAGCTGCCAGACTCCAGCCACGTCAGGACTCAGAGTCCGCTTGTGGTGGGCGCTATGCTGTAGGAGCCTTCAGGGAGCTGCTTTTGTGGATCCCTGGTGGGAAGGACCCTTGCTCTGTACTGGGAAGGCCGCAATGAACTCAGCTCACACAGAGATTTATCCTCTTCATCATCTGAAGTGCTGGGGATTTCACCAAGAAATAGAAAACAAGAGACCTAAGGTGCTCTTCCTGCCACTCCCCCAACCGCTTCCTCCCGTTGGCTTATGCCTCACGGGTGAACTTGTGGGAATTTTTTGTTGTCATCCAACAAACAGGCCGACGCAGCTCTGCCAGCACCAGCAATGTGTGTGTGTGTAGCAGTGCATACAGCTTCCTGGTTCTCTTTCCTCCCTTGCTGTTGTGGACCCATTAACCTTGTTCTTGATGTTCTCCTTAAGAAGGTGAGGAGACCTCAGTGAAGGAGACCTCAGTGAGTGCACAGACTTAAGGCTGAACCGAGATCCGGACCAGGTGTCCTAGAGCCACACAGGCCTTTCCAGAGAGGGAGAGCTCACTGTCCCCAGTGTAAGCGTTCAGTCTGCCACAAGAGATATAATCTTCATTAGCATCATGAGGGAGAACCTCGGATTCTGTCCTCAGGTTCTGGGCTTTGATCCCTGCGTCTGCAAAGGCTTTGACTGTGTAGGGAATTGGAAGTAATCATCAGCACATGGAGTTGGTATGGTCAGAGTCAGGGAGCTGGGGAGGGATTGACCAGCAGGTGCTCGGCTTGTAACTCTTATGGGGTGTGGCACCCCTCTCCCCTGCCTGCACTCAGCATTTCACCGTCACGCAATAAATGTGCCACTGGTTGGGAGCTGACTCTTTCCCCAAGGTGGGCAAGAGACAAGTAGGGGCCCAGGGAGAGGAGCTGTGGGTCCTGCATGATCCCTTTGAAGCCGATCAGCTCCTGTTTTACCCCTCCTCACAGCTCCTCTGCTGCATTGTCACCCTCCCGCCCGCCAGTCCCCTCTCAGAAAATCCCAGGTTTCCTTCTTTGCCATCATCAGTGGCAGAAAGGACTCATAGCAGTAACTTTCCCCAAGGAGGATAATTGTCAAGCAACTGTTGATGGCACTGCCCGAACAACCCTGTTTTTAGATTAAAATTGTCCATTTGCTGAAAATGTTAGGAGATGAGAGGCGATTTTCCTGGAGTGCTGGGGCTGGGTGAGGCCTTTACTCTCATGGCATCTTGAACTTCCTTACTTCCCTTCCCCAAGCCCTGCCACCCTGGTCCCCAGCATCTAGGCCACTCTCCTTCTCGACCAAGCCCCAAGACGGTTTTCTGCCTCTGCTTCGTGGGCCTGGCCCAGTCCAGGAATGTCATTAGATTCTAGCCCCTGGGGAGTGGGAGAGAGGAGCAGAAAAGGCAGCTCTTGGGTGCTGGCTCATGGGATCGCTTCTTTGTTGGCAGAGTTGACTGCTTTTTTAAGCCCCAGCCTGGGAGAGTTCATCAGTCATAAAGCCTCATCGCTTGACCTAAGTCATCCGTCCTTCTTGGGAGAGACTTAGCAGTGGGCCCTCAGTGTAGGGTAGGCCCTTGAAGCTGCCAGAGAAACGTCTTGCATGTGGTGTGATCCACCAGTTGGCTGCCATGAACCCCGAGATCAGTGCTTTGATCTTCAGGTTCTCGGAGAAGACGGGAAACCTTCCCCGCTCTGGCTTTCACGTTGAGTCTCCTTCTTGCCTGTCGGCTCAGGTTCTGCCGACACCAGATGTTCTAACCGAAGGGGCTGGCACTGCTTTCTTCCAAAGATGATTATTCCCATCTGTGCCAGACATCTTGTACTGTGCTCTGCGATCCTTGGCTCTTGGCTTGCAGAAGATAATACCTTGAAACATGCGGTTGCAATTTATTGGCCTTATAAGTTAATTTTAGTGGGTGTGCAATTGATTGAAATCAAAGCTTAATGAAGGCCAGAGTCGGGGGGGGGGGGTGAAGGAGCAGGGTGGGAAGGCATTTTGTGTTCTTCCTTGCTTCGGGTCTGAGATAATCTTCAAAAGCTTTAATTAGCTTTTCTAATCAGCCCTTCTTGTCTGGAAGAGGTTTACAGAGTGAAACAAGGCTGGAGTCCCTGTGGCAGTCCCAGAAGCCCACAAGCCTCTCCGGGAGCAGCCAGGGTGATTGGCCGATGGGCCTTCCCTGGCTCCCTGCCTCCTCTCCCCTTTCTGGGGCCACATTAGAATTTGGTTGTTTCCGCACCTTCCTTCCATTCTCCGTCCCTCTGTCATTTGACATTTGAGTAACGCTGGCCTGGGAAGGGCAGGGCATCCATATTAATGTGTGAAAAAAGTTCCCTGCCTTGGTTTCCTGGGTCCCTGAAACCGTATGTTCCCTGCTGCCTTCCCAGACTGTGGGCCCGGTGCTCCTAGGTGTTACCCCTTCCTTGGACATGAGCATTGGGCCTGGGGAATTTTGGTGTTTCAGTCCTGGTGGGAATTGTAGAAGGCAACGGGAGATTTTCTGATGAAGTTGCAGAAGTAGGGGAGCAGGTAACTGATGGTGGGCGGCGCTGTCTGGGCAGGAGGTACAGACACCTCCCATAGAGGTCTCTGACCCCACCGTTGTGTCAAGGGCAAGCTGCAGGATGGGGAGGAGCTGGGCTGTGAAAGAGACCTGGACTCGATTCTCTCTTCTGTCCTTAGTCGCAGACTGCCTTTGGACAAGTAAGTAAACTCTCTGAGCCCCTGTTTCCTTATCTTTTGGAAAGGTGCTGCTGCCCATCTTGTGGGTTGAGGGGGCCTTCAGTGAGGTGCTGTTAGTAAGGCTCCCCTCGCACTGACTCGTCCTGTCCACTCGGTGACCTTCACACTGTCAGTATAATAGGATGATTCTAATTTTGCGGCACTTATCTGGTGGATGTCTTATATTCTGTCCATTTGTGGGTGTGGGGCTGTTTGGGTGTGGACGTGGCGAGGTAGCAGGCTGTGATGATGCTGGCCACGTAAGAAGGCTGTGGGTTCTGGTCAGGGCTCTGCCACCAGCCCATAGTGAGACCTCAAGTAAATCTCTGTCTCAAAAATGGAGTGAAGGGAAGGGCCGGCCTGGTGGCGTAGCGGTTAAGTTCACGCAGTCTGCTTCGGCGGCCCGGGTTCGGAGCCTGGGCGCACACTGATGCACCGCTTGTCAAGCCATGTTGTGGCTTGAACCCTGGACCATTTGGTTTGGCACATCTACCCTCACTCCCTGCTCCTTCACATAGGTCTGAGTGGCTCACGATGCATAAACCTTTTTCCCCTTGCCCAGAGGTGTAGGGCCTCTTCCCAGATTTAAGGGTCTCCAGAAGGATCCTGCCACAGGGGCAGCAGGTAAAGACAGGGGAGTCTTGTCTGGCTTTCAGCTTGTCAGCAGCGTAATTATTATTTGGGTTTTCACATACATTATTTGTATCTTCAGCCATGCATACAGAGGGCCTCTGAGAACCTGCCCTGCCTGCTGTGGGACTCCAGCTTGCCACAGCTTTGGGCTCGTGTGAAAGTGCTAGGAGCAGTTAATGGGGAAACCCAAGGTCTCCTCAGTTGTGCTGTTTTAATTGAATAGGGAGATGCATCGAGAGAAGCCCTGTCAGCTCTCTGGAGGGGTTGAGTTGAGTCTATGAGTCTGCATCCTGCTCTCAGGATGAGTGTCAGCTCTCTTGTGACCACAACTCTTAAGCAGGAGTGTCAGCTTAGTGTCTAGAGCCCCTAAAGAGTGGATCTGGACAAGATGCACGTGGCCTCTCAGCCCGGAGGCCAGTGAGGGAGCGTCCACTGCAGGTCCCCTTTGTCTGGCATCCTAGGGCTGCAGTCCAGGGTTGGGGTTGCCTTGGCGTGTACTGTCTGATTTTCGTCTGCTAAAAGAAAGTTAAATGTAAAACAGGAGTGTGCGGAAAACAAATTCGTTTACAAACATGATCCCCCGAGTTAGCGTCAGGGATCTGATTCCTCCAGAATTCTTCCGTTCTTGTAACCATATGGCACACAGTCACGCCTTGGGTTATGCAGTTCCACGTGTTGGGATGAAGACACCATCTGGAAGCAAAGGACCAGCTCCCTCCAGTGGTCAAGCTCCTCTGTCTTGCCAGAGACCCTGTGCGCCCTGGCTGAGCCGCTTTCCAGGCTCCTAGCAGATCCCTCTTTTCTGGGAAGCTGTTTAGTGGAAGTATCAAGGATGAGTGGTCTAACAGAGGTTCAGCCAGCAGGCCTCAGCTGCCTCACTGAGGTGGAGGACCCCCCTTTCCAGAATTTCCTGTGCAGGTTGCTCAGTGATGTGCCCCGAGTCCTGGCCACTCACTGTATCCTCCTTTCCTTCTCTGACTTCCTCCTCCACCTGGAGGTGGCATTGTGTACAGTGGCATGGTTGCAGGTCTATTTAACTTACCTGAACTCAACCTCACAGGTGAACCAGGGCCCCCTGAGGCCCGGTCTGGCCACCTGCACCACATGTGGTACCCCCTCCCACATGAGGCCAGCCAGACCCCAGGTCCCATCCCAGCTCCCCCCTTCCCTTTCCAGCTGTGTGAGTCAGGCATTTTCCTTTCTCTCTCTGGGTTTCAGTTTTCCTAACTGTAAGATAATGTGTGCAAAGCCCCTGACACAGAATGGGGTCTCAAAAATGGCAGCTCTTGGACAGTGGTGATGGCTTTGAAACTCCAGAAGGCCTCGACCGTCAGCATTCTCATGAGGTGGGCTGAGTGGGGCAGCAGTATTTCCACGGGGAGTCCAGAGGGGCAGGAGATGGCCGGGCGTGCTGAGTGCGGCGGTTTGGTCAGGTCCCAGAGCCAGGTTGGCGGCCCCTGCAGCGGCTCCATTGTTTCCATAGAGGCTTCATTATTTCTCTTCAAGTGAAAAAAAAGAAAAGCCTTGTAAAGAGAGGCTGTAAAGTGTGGCAGCCGCAGTCCAGATGTGCACTTCTAAGTGCAACTGGCATTAAAGTCACACATGCCTAAGCTGATCGGTATGTGTGCTCGGGGGATGCTGCACCTGTGTGTCCTAGAAGGAGTTTCCGCAGAATACCTGTCCCGTGTCCACAGGCAGACTCATGGACACTTTTCGCAAGCCGTGGTGAAAACAGCTGGTTTCAACACATAGACGAGGGCCATTGGGTTTCAGTGGCAAATCTGGATGTGGCCAGCCCAAAGCCAAGTGTTGATCTTTCTCCATTTTGTGCGGAGGCAACTCCAGCCCCGGGGCTGTGCTTACAGAGCAAGCAGGACCTTGCTTTGTGGAGGTTCAGGACATGTCAGGGCTAGGAGAAGAAGGGAGATCTGCCTTCTCAGCCCAGAGAGAAGGAGCCCTAGGAAAACGAGAAGCCCCCAGTGGCTGCGTGCCTGCTCTGTGCCAGGCTCCGCGGCCAGCACTGCCGGTCCACTGTTTCCTGTGTGCTTCCTGGTGCCTCCAGGAGGTGGTTTCCAGGTACACCCTCAAGGGAGGCTGGTACCCACTGGGGAGGAGAACCCCCATTCCCAGCCCCTCGTAGTTGTGGCCGTCAGCCTGCCTTCTGCAGCTCCTGTGGACGTTCCAGAAGCTGTACCCATTGGGCAGCACGCACCACCTCCTGTTGGACAGGGGATACGCTTAGCTTCCTGATGGTGACTGGTTGGGAACCAACGAAAAAGGAATGTCGGTCTGCACTGCCAAGGAGGCCAGGTTTTAGATGCCTCTCCAAGCAAATTGAAGATTTTTCTTTTTTCCTAAGATGGAATTGAATTGTTCCCACCAGGTGCCTTTTTATGTTGTAAGGATGTTAAGGATGATCAGAAAAACAGCTACTGCTGGTAGCTGGGGGTTTTATTTTCTTTTTAGGCTGAGAGGAAACAAAAAGGTATTGTTTGGGGTCGGAATCTCAGCTGCTGGTGGAATGGCTCTGCCTCTGGGTTTTATTCTCCCTGTCTTTGCCATAAAATCAGTCAAGCATGGGAGTTTCTGTTTGAATGAGTGCCCAAATGACCTCCTCTTCACTGTCATGATGGAGCGCCAGTTACAATCAAGAGTGGCCCTCATGGCCATTTGTCCCAGGTCTTGCTGCTGCTGTCTATTGAGATCTCAGAAGCAGAACAGACCATATATGTGACAGAAGGACACAGAGCGGGAGAAGAAAGAATCTCGTGGAACCTTACAGCTTTGCACCTTTTAAGGGCCACTGTTGCTAGCCAGGCACTAGATAATAGAGGGATTCCACTTTTTTTTTTTTTTTTTTTTTAAAGTTACTATTTTATTTTTTATAAAGTTCTTTTTTTTTTTTTAAATTTTTTTTTCCCCCACAAAGCCCCAGTAGGTAGTTGTATGTCATAGCTGCACATCATTCTAGTTGTTGTATGTGGGACGTGGCCTCAGCATGGCCGGACAAGCGGTGCGTCGGTGCGCGCCCGGGATCCGAACCCGGGCCGCCAGCAGCGGAGCACACGCACTTAACCGCTAAGCCACGGGGCCGGCCCGATTCCACTTGTTTTAATTGCACTGACATTTAAACAATTTTTTTTTTGGTGAGGAAGATTGGCCATGAGCTAACATCCGTTGCCAATTTTCCTCTTTTTGCTGAGGAAGATTGTCCCTGAGCTAACATCTGTGCCCATCTTCCTCTATTTTGTATATGGGATGCCACCGCAGCATGGCTTGATGAATGGTGCATAGGTCCACACCCGGGATCTGAACCTGCAAACCCCGGGCCGCTGAAGCGGAGCACGCGAACTTAACCACTACGCCACCGGGCCAGCTCTAAACAATTTTTAGTCTGACCTCTTCATCTGGCGTTTCAGCCAGGCCCACCTTGTGTGTTCCCTTCTGTCTCTCTCTCACACACCCTAACAGTCCCTTCGACTCCAGTCCGAGTGGAGGCCGAGGGCATTCCCATCTTGGTACTGGCCCCCAACTTAAAAGAAGTGTCCAGACCATAGCCATCCTTCCAAGCTGACATCAGTTTCTCCACAGAAGCCTCACTCCAGCCTACAGTACTCTTTCTAGAGTCTTGGAATTCTGTAGTTAGAGTCCTGGTCCACACAGTTTGGAACTCGGTTGTATACTCATTTGGATTGCATCCACTTTGACATATATTCCCACATGGAAAAACCTCCAGGGGAGGGTGGCTTGGATAGTGGGATACAGATGACGACAGATTCAAAATCCTAAAAGATATGTTGAATGGTGAAGCCATGTCTGGGAGAATTAAATATAACAGACTTGAGTGGAAAGTGGTATTCTTGGGGCCAGTATACCAAGTTCTCACAAGTATAGGATGTGGGAGACAGTTTCATTTGTCTGAGATGACTGCAAGCTCGGTGTGTGTCAGTGTGAGGGAGGTGTGATTGCCGAGAGAGCTGATTCGGTCTTGAGCTCCTTGGTGGAGAGCTAGCCCCTTCTCCCAGAGATGTGCCGTCTCTACTCTGCGTTGGTGAACACGTAGTCGGGGCGCTGATTTCTGCTCTCGAGCTCTTACAGAGGAGGATAACCAACATACGGGGACTTGAAATCATGTCTAATGAGGATAATATAACGACAGGAAGGCCAGAAAAGAGAAATCTTGGGGGTTATGTAAGCTATCTTTCGATATTTAAAAGAACTACATGAGGTAAAAGGGCATTAAATTCTTATTTTCTGTGGTTCTGCAAGGCAGTAGGTAGAAGTGTTCACCCAGGTCCGGTGAGAACTATTTGAATTGTTCAAAACAGAAGTGTTTGCCTTAGGAAGGTAGTAAGTTCCCTCTCACTGGTGGTGTGTAAGCAGAGTTTTGACCAACTTGATTAAGACGTTAGGATTGGTGCTGTGGTGCTGCGTCTGCCTTGTACAGGCCCTGATGCAGCCATCACATCCTGGAGTCTCAGAGCTGGGAGAGACCTAGTGGGCCTCTGATCCAGCTCTCTCATTTTACAAATGGGAAAACAGTCTTTGGCACCACATGGGTGCCAAATAAGTGTTCCTTGACTTTATTTAATGAAGCTGACTGTAGAAGAAAGCCCCCGCATGCTCCAGCATCTAGGGGGCTTACCTTGTAGTGCCCGCCTGACTTGTCTGGCTTTAGAGGCGACTGCCTGTGCCTCAGCATTACAGAGGTCTTGGCCAGAGGTCCAAGTCTACTTGAGCCTCCTGGGTCGGTCCCGTGAAGGCGGCCCAGCCCCTGATGGCTAAAAGACCACATCTGAGTGAACTCAAGAAAGGCCTGCTCCCAGCAGACCCCACCTGGCTTTGGTTCTTTGCAAGAGGTCATGGCATGTGACTCATTACCTGTGGGGGGCCCCATATTAGAACCGTGAATCCGGCCATTCTCCTGGGAGGCGATTTGAAAGGAAGGAGTAAAGGCCAGCTTCAGAGTCCCTTCCAGGCCCATTTTCCCTGTTGCGTTTGTAGCCCAGTCTTGGCTAAGACGGAATTGGGTAATTCACAGTCACAGCTCAGATTCCTGAGACAAGTTTCCATCCTAGGTCTCCACGCATACCTCAGCTTCAAACACTCCATAAAGCTTTGGGAGCCGAAATATTTTCTTTCTTTCCTTCTTTTGTGAAGTAGGTCATTTTGAGTGTGAAGTATTATGCTTTCCCATTTTTATCCTTCTCCCCAGAAGTCCTGTGGTTGAAGGTTATGGACACAGAATCTGTATATGTGACTGTGACATTATTCAAGTGGAAGAGTGATTTTCAGGGAGAAATGACATAGAACTCGGAGAAGAAAAGAATTACTGGCACATTAGGCTTTTCTTGTGTGTGTGTGTGTGAGGAGGACCAGCCCTGAGCTAACGTCCGATGTCAGTCCTCCTTTTTTTTGCTAAGGAAGACTGGCCCTGGGCTAACATCCGTGCCCATCTTCCTCTACTTTATATGGGACGCCACCACAGCATGGCCTGACAAGCAGTGCGTCGGTGCGTGCCCGGGATCTGAACCGGCGAACCCCGGGCCGCCGCAGCAGAGCGCGCACGCCTAACCGCTTGCGCCACTGGGCTGGCCCTGACACGTTAGGCTTTTAATTGATCCAAGTTCAGGGATCTAAAGTTGACCAGATGCTTAATTATAATTGACTGTGCTGATAAATAGCCAGCCCCATCTGAGGGTCTTGCCTTTTGCTCCTTGGTCACCCAGCACAGAGGTGTCCTCTGGTGACGCGACCTTTGGAGTTTATGAAACCTGTATCTGCCTGTTGTAGTCAACACACTGTTTTTCAAATGGCCACCCAAAGTGGCCCCGTCTCCTTAGTCCCAGCTGTCTGAATTCTTGGCAGTTCTGTTTGCCTTAGAAGATGTTGGTCTTTCCTGGGAAAGTCT